GCACAAAAGAAAAAAAAGAATTCAATGAAAAACAAATTATCAGTAAACATTATAAACAAAGAGGGAAAAAAATCCGTAAAATGGTGGATTTTACCATTTCAGAAAGTCATACAATCAAATCAAAATTGATAAGTAGTTTGAAAATTTCAGAACACGTGATTCAATTCGTCATTAACGCAATGAAGAAATTCTAGGCATAGCTAACTGGAGGGGAGATCAATATAAATCAACATAAATAGAGATATTTTGAAAGACGATCTATCACTATTACTTCCCGTAGCACTCAATTTCATTTCGCAGTAGTTTAAAAGGCGGAGATGATCCAGTAATTTGTCAGGATTTTAATGTGCAGTTAGTGTAACGGGTATCGGCGTGGAAAGCGGAATCGGCAAATTCAAATGCTGAATTAGTTTGTTTTACGGCATATCAACCTAAATGGGTTATTTAATGCCGACAAGATTTTTATTGCTGGAAATTTTTTTTTCTTCAGAAATTTATTGCTGGTAATATTTTTTTTTTCTTCAAAAATTTATTGCTGGTAATAACCTTTTACAAAAATGTATTGCTAGTATTAAAACTTATTTTTACACTTTCATAGTGTTTTCGACCACTAGGGGGGGGGGGTAAACTATTTGCCCATAGCTGGGACCCAAATAGGTGCTACCATCCCGGGCCAGAGTGAACCTGGGAACACCAGAAATTAAGAGGTGGTTCCACGCTCCCCAAAACCTCCTGATTTTGCTGTTGGATGTAGTTTATCGTCTTACCCAGGACGCGGATGTAGTTTATCGTCTTACCAAGGACAGATGCCGAATTAGTGTGCAGTGTTCATTTTTGCACAAATACTAATTCGAAAGGCACATGTTAATCTCTTCTCCCCAGAGAAAAGTGTCAAATCACAGACAGAATTTCGTAGCCTTGGCTGGCTGCCAGGCTAGAAAAAACCGACTACTCTCAATTTTAAACAGTGTAGAAGGTAACGACCCCCCAAAAAAAAACACAAACAAAAAACAACAACAAAAAAAACAACAACAAAAAACATTGCACTATTTTTCTGTCTGAATTTCTGGGATGAGGAGTTATCGTTAATTACACTATTTGCACGCAGACTATTGTCCTCATCTTTGTTGTTATCACAAAGTTTCGGCTCTTTTGCTCCAAACTCCCTTCCCCCGCAAGGCCTTCATTCGTGTAACCTATACGAAATTCCGAACTGGATATGATTAAATAAAGGGTTTAGCATTAGTCATATAAGAAAATGATTGTAGATGTCCCAAAAGTACAACAATAGGCATTCTGGATAAGAAAGGTTATCTGTTTGGAAATTCTCCATTGACTGGAATTTCGGCTTTGCAAATAAATGGAATATGTACAAGCGAAAACAACTATATAAGAGAAATGTCATCAATAAAAGCAAAGCCTGAATGAAATCAACAAGAGCAAGGCGAGTTACTGTAAATAAAGATAAAATAGGATGCTAGATATCCTGGTTCATATATAATACCCGATAAAATTGAAAGAAAATAAAAAGTTACGAAACATTGAAAGCTTCTAAGAGAACATGAAGTTGATAATAATGCTTATTATTATTATTGGAGTTCTATGGATGTCCTGAAGATATTTACAGTGAGAGTGAAAGAACTAGAAATTTCAGGAATAATGGGAACCCTCCTAGCGACAAGAATTCAGTTTGAATACTGCGGAGTGTGCTGGTATTAGGAAAATATGCTGTTAGTTGATTATCGCCGAAAGCTAACAGTTAATTCTGGCATGAAATCACAATGGATGAATAAGAAAAAAATAGGAGGAGGAGGAGAAAAAGCAGGAGGAGGAGAAGAAAAGAAAAATAGGAGTAGGAGAAGGTAAAAGAAAAAATAGAGGAAGAAAGAGAAAAATAAGAGAAGGGAGAGAAAATATGAGAATGACAAGAAAAAAAGCATAAAATAGGAGGAGGAAAAGAAGAAAAAATAGGAGAAAAGAAAAAATAGGAGGAGCAGAAAAGGAATAATAGAAGGAGGAGGAGGAGGAGGAAAGGAAAAACAAGAAGAGGAAAAAAGGAAAATAGGAGGAGGAGAAGGAGGAGAAAAGCAAAAATAGGACGAGGAGAAAAGCAAAAATAGGACGAGGAGAAAAGCAAAAATAGGACGAGGAGAAAAGCAAAAATAGGACGAGGAGAAAAGCAAAAATAGGACGAGGAGAAAAGCAAAAATAGGACGAGGAGAAAAGCAAAAATAGGACGAGGAGAAAAGCAAAAATAGGACGAGGAGAAAAGCAAAAAATAGGACGAGGAGAAAAGGAGGACGAAAAGAAAAAAAATAGGACGAGGAGAAAAGCAAAAATAGGACGAGGAGAAAAGCAAAAATAGGACGAGGAGGAGGGAGAAAAGCAAAAAATAGGAAGAAGAGGAGGAGAAAAGCAAAAAATAGGAAGAAGAGGAGGAGAAAAGGAAAATAGGAAGAAGACGATGAGAAAAGGAATAATAGTGAAAGAGGAGGAGAAAAAGCACGAGAAGCAAGAGAGAAAGCAAAAATAGACGAAGGAGGAGAAAAACGAAAATGGTTGGAGGTCAAGAAAAATAAATAGTCGGAGGAAGAAAAAAAGAAAAAAAAGAAATAGTCGGGGGAGGAGAAAAAATAATAAGGAAAAGAAACCGCGGAATTAAATACAGAAGGAGAAGATAAGTAATGGTAAAGAAAATGATAAAATAGAAGAAACACAGAAGAGATGAAGAAAAGAAGGAGAAATAAAGTAAAATAAAAAGAAAAAACGACAAAGAAAATACATAAAACAGGAAAATAAAAAAAATGAATCAGGATACAATTATTTGAAAGAATTTAATTTAGATACGCCAGAAATATGTTGAAAAGATTAAATACTTTTCGTCACATTTGTCATTATAATTGCACATCTTTTCACGAGTCGATCTGTTGGTTATCATCGAAAACTGAGTAAACATCCTCATATTATTGGAACTCCACACTCGTAATTTCGCAGACTCTTAATATTGCTAAGGTCGATTTCGTTTCAACCCTGATTTTTCATCTTTCAGATCCTCCAATCTCTATGCAAATATATTCGAATTTATTTCGTGTGTAACAAAGAATATGGGCGCTACCTTCACGTTGATATTCCAAACAGTTTTGAATTCTTGTTTTCTTTCAACCTCACGTTTCGTTTTCGTCCGCCATTTTCTTTTCTCCGTTCACTCTAAATAATTTAAACCTTCTGATATGAATTGTCTGAGCTGTCTGAATGTTGAAGTTTGAAAGCATTCCTTTTCTTGACTTTATACACCGCAATATATTTTCTTAAAAAAACCGTGTTCCTTCAGGACGTACGAAAACACCATCCCTTTTCTTTATTATCTTTGAATTACAATAGTATTTGGGAACAGAGTAATCTAATCTTGGGAATAGAGTAATTATTTCTTATTGCATTCTTTACGGCTTGGATTTAAGCGTTTTCTTTCTCTTAGATTGGATACCACCCAAATCTAGAATGCCCATTCTATCTTGATATTTAAAACAAATGGTGATTGGGAAAGTGATGGGTTCATGCCTTTCTCAAGAGTATTGATATAGCTTTCTATGGAACTGCTTTATCGCTACTTCCTTAGAAAGTGCTCGGACTACCTGCATACCTTGGTTCCACCAGTTTTAACCTTTGCGGCCAGGACGGACGGACATGAGATTTACATAGTAGCAAACCATCTATATTTCTTCCGTATTCCATCGAGGGTGAGTATTAAGTTCCTTCTTCTTCCCGTGAACCTCTGCTGTGGATCCGACTCACAGGAAGATGTTTCCCCGATCACTACAATCTTAATCTGTTCAAATCTAGAGTTAACCGTTATATTTTCCTCTTATCCGCATAAACTGGCTCTTAATGTAACCCGCTGCCTCGGGTGGCCCGCGGGCCTTGTGCAGGGTGAACCTAACTGTAAGAAATACTAAAAGAAAAAAAAATCCAACTTATGTTTACCTGCTGATTCTCGTATGAACCTAATCAAGGGAGTGCAAATTTAACTGAATAGAACAATGCAAAAAAAAAAAAAAAAGTAGAAAAATTTTACCTGGTCACTAGCGAAATAGTGATTTTCCAAGCGTAGCTTAAATGTGGGAACTCAGTGAGGATTGAACTCCCTACTCACTAGTAATTGTTTTAGCGAGACAAGCTTGCTAACCATTACACCACCTCTTGGTACCCAATCACTATTAAAATATGCAGATTAACCAATGTAATGTAATCCTGGTAAAAGACTAGGTTATTCCTTTCTTTACTAACTACGGACATCTTTTTTTATCAATTGTTGCTCCCAGTTGGTTTATTTAACGAGGATTCTATATTCGAGTCAATTATACGATTCTCTTCGAAAGAAAATCCTGCCATAAGACTACCTTCTGATTCAGCGATAGTATCACTCTTTGGCATGAATATAATATTTTACTGCAGTCTCTTGTAGGGAGGGGCTGGGGTCGCTACCTTTGTTCCAAGATCTAATCTATTCGACATTATTAAACAACTTTAACAGTTAAACTATAATTTAAAATCGAAATAGTTTCGGTTTTGTTTAAGCAGCAAATCGCAAACAGATGTGACTTTATGCCACAAAAACAGCAGTACAGACTGACGGTTGGCTGTAGCAGATATACATAGCAGCATGAAATGAGCGGCACCTTTGAAAACCCGAGTTTTCTAAAAGAAACAATCTTCACTGGAAAACATCGAAAGTGATTCGTTTTTTACTGCTTATCAACCCTTTGCGGGTTATTTAAAGCCAGAAAATATTTTTAGGTTGTAAATATTTTTTGTTTGAGATAATAATGGTTTGGTGATACAAGTCTTGGTACTTAACCCATAGCTGGGGGAGAAGTGGTGGATTCATACCTTTCCCAAGGGTTTATGCGCATAAGTGAATATAACAGACCCAATGGGAATTGGAACTGATCTCCTATAAACAATTCCGAAGTATTATCCAATAAACCATCTGCGCCTCCAAGATTACAGCACATAGTATTCCCAAGCGGTCACCCATCTAAGTACTGACCAGGAACGACGTTGCATAACTTCAGTGATCGTACCCGAACAGGTCTTTCAACGTGATATGGCCGTAAAGCCACCGAAACCCACACAGGGGAGACCTCCCTTATCTCCATCACATCATTAATGGAAAATATTTTTTGTTCTAGAACAATAGACATTTAAATTCAAACTGTTGTTAACAAAAGTCATACTTTTTCTACAACCAAGCTTTATTTATGTTGTAGAGTAGTTTTCACAGTGGAGGCTTGTATTTCAATAAATCGTTCTAAATTAACTTCGACGTACAAAACGTTAAGAACTTGAAATAAGAGTTAATGACGCAGCAATCTAGTTGTGATGGTTGATACTTCAATGTCCAACATCGACTGACTCATTCAACACCACTGAGCCCAACTGGCCACTGCTACTACTACTTATCTGTGGGAGAGTCTATTACAATAGAATAGGTATTATGTTTTAACAATTTATTATTTTATGACGGAAATATTTAATAAAATTTGTCGTATTTGCAATTCTATTTAGTTTTGTTTAATTTAATATGGATATATAGATAACTATAGGATAGCCATGCATATATGGCGTTCTATACTACAGGTCAACTCAGGTGCAATTAAGGACTCAAACAAGAGACCTATTAAAAAAAAAAACACCTTGTGAAAAAAGTTAAAATATAATTTACTAAGAATTTTGTTTATCTTATTTACATTGTTCAAACTGTTGTCCTCATCTTTATTGTCATGTTCACGGCATTTCGGCCGTTGCACGCTCCGACCTTCTTCAGATGATTAGAATTTTGAACTAAACCCTTTATTTCGTCCACCGGGGTAAATTGTCTTTGTTTTACGTGCCTTAGTTCTTCCGGATGTTTCAGTTATCTCCCTTTAAATTACTTTTTTTCATTCATTTTGTAATATGAAAAATATTACATTTGTTTCTGCTTTATTATTTTTTAATGGTATACTAAGCTAAAATTTTAATGGTATACTAAAATTCAGCATCAGTTTTCCTCCTCATTATCTTTCAGCATCTATTAGAGAGAATTATAATTAAATCTTAACCTCAATATATTTGTTATGAATAACAATATCACAAAGAGAAATATTAAATGAACTTTATGTGACAAATAATTATATTTTAAATACATTTCATTGTGAAAACAGAATAAAGTAATTGTTCGAGAGAACAGTTTGTTAAAAATCAAATGGATTAAAACCTTAATTTTAACATAGTTTTTGTAACGTTTAATAAAGACAATATAATTCGGAATAATAAATTATTTCTTTAAATCAAGTAAAATTACGCTTTTTGCGTTTAGAGCATATGAACTTGTCTAGTTATATTTTTTCTTTAATTTTGCTGTGTAAAAAGTTACATTACTGTACAAGAACTGTGCAAAAATTCAGGTTTTCTTTAGAAGTTAAAAATAGAAATAGAGATCAAGCTAAAACACTAAAGTTCATCAGTAGCGTATTTGCTTTTACGAATAACCATTTTCTCGAGAAGACTATTAAATTAACATTGTCAAGATCTATTTTTAGCGAATTTCACTCAAAGGTCCGCTCTTGCAATAAACCAAATCATATAAATGGTCTGGAAAAACTAAAATAAATTTACTTCAATTAAATAATATAAAAAGGTATTCAAAGTGTTAAAAAATAAAATAAAATCATTATCTTTTTCAAGCCGACTATATCTGTAAACTACCGCAAATCCAAGACGACTCTAAATTACCTTGTTCCCTGTCGGATGATTATTTATTGTTAAATGAATAACAATTATGGCCCAAGTCCGAGAGGGAAGTGAAGAGACATCGGTCTACGTAACATTGCTAAGCCTAGCTTTTATTTATTTCTGTTCTTACATAAATTGTAGCACAAAGCGAAGGGGAGGTGGGGATAAGGTTGGTCAACAGTAACTATCCGATTCACGACACAGTCATTACAATTTACTGATTCACCACAAAAACTCATCCATCGCTATTCACGCTGACATATACCACAATACCACATATTCACAAGGATCCTACAAAAACATACATGACATGAAATGTTAATAATGTAAAAATGCCAATTATTTTTTCAATTTTTTTAATAAAAATATATAAATATTTAATGATATAAAATGAATGCGGTGCGGATGAACCCAAAAAACGAAACTAAAATATAATATTCAAACTTTCAAAAACGATTGACCCTTGACTTAAAGTTGATATTATAGTGTAACCCGGATATAAGAGAGTTGTTGGGACCGGAGAAGAAGTCTCTTATATCCGGGTTTGGTCTATTATATATATTAGGTTGGTGCAAAAATAATGTCGTTTTTGACGTTCAACTTAACGTCAAAAACGACATTATTTTTGCACCAACCTAATACATTAACACAGGCTCTAATTTGGGACCAGAGAAAATCTCTCTTATATCCGGATTTCTCTTATATCCGGGTTACACGGTATTTGGAAAATCATACACGTGGGAGTCTGTTTAATAAAATAGCAATTCTTAGAAAAGAAAAAAGAAAAAAATGAGGGCGAATGGAACATTTTGCTTACATTTGCAATACGGTGGAAATATGGTCGAGTCGGAGAAACATGGTGATTTGAGTCTAAAATGGCAGAAATAATGCCTGGAGCTGATCTCAACACTTACCAAGGTAAATGTTAATAGAGTAGCTTTAGACATTCAACGTTGTCTATGGAAAAAGAGGTCGCAGAGCGTAAAATAAATCCTCAACAGAGCAGCGTAAACGATTTTGAAGTTAGTAATAAAATAAAGCTTCTAATTCTATATAAAGACGAACATTACGAGACCTTAGAGTAAGCCAATAATGTGTAAAGCAGCCATTATCGCAGTGGTACTCTACCAGCGCGAAATATTTTTTACTGTGTGCGTGTAAGTAGTAATGGTATAACATTAGTATCTGAATAAATAAATAAATAAGTATTGAACATTTTATCCCGCATTAACAAAAGAGTTTCAGTATTATTGCAATTTTCTACTTATTTATGTAAATTAGGCTTCTCAACCCTAAATAAAAGTGAGAAAGACTACGTTCAACTGTAGAAATGAGGGTCTGTTTACTGTACATTCGAACAAACATTGAAGAAACACGAGAAAAAAAACAGGTACAGGTCTCATACTAAAGAAACTGCACAAATAGTTGAATAGAAACAAAAATAAACTAAGTTCATACTTTTGTGTGTGTATTTAAAAAAAATCTATGGTTTAATTTCATAACGTTTAAATGTATTTCCTTTAAAAATTTTGCTAAGTGCGCCGTGATATTTTCATTTGATTCTAGGTTGTTTCAAAAAAATGGTTGAGAAACACTGCATCGTATAGGATAAATAACCCAAATTCCTGGCTATTTTGATATTCAAATTCATTCAATCAATATATTTCATTCAAGTCAGAAGATAAGATTTATTAATCTTAAAAAAAAACAAAAAAAACTGTCTGTTGGTGAATATGTCAGTTCCAGCAGAACGAAGGCTAAACGGAAAAGAAAATGAAAAGCATGAAAAGATCTAAACTGAGTGAAAGAAAGAATTTAGCACAACATGCGGAAGAAATAAATATTTGTTCCCTTGGAAGAGTGCCAGATTTCTGCAAGTCTTGTAACTCTGCGAAAGAATCTAAAGCATTTAGACCATAGACGATATATACATAATCTCCAAAGTTGACAAGTATGTTGGACCATTAGGGAGAATTGTCTTTCCCCTTTTAAATCACCAATGAAAAAGCCATCAGTTCGAGGGATATTCCAGGAAACCCATCACTATCTGCTATATAAAAAAATAGTACTCAGGAGTTCTGCTCACATAGAAAACTCGCTAGAACAATTACGACTGAGTAGTGAGTTCGATCCTCACTGGTTGTCCCCAACTTTCGGCCTTGTGCAACATCTAAGCTACCCTTGGAAAATCCCTCACATAGAAAACTTTTTCAATGTAATATATTCACTTTCTTACTTCAGGTCCCACGTAAAAGAATTGGTAAATGATTGCATGAAACAACGAATTAGGAAAACTGAAAATGTATAATAATAATAATGGTGATTTTTTGCCTGACCTTAAGCAATTGGATTCCTCTCTAAAGGCTACCCCACTGGACATTTCTGTCCATGAAGAGGTGTAATTTGGATCATGGTCGTGTGTCGAGATGTTTTTTTTTTAAAGTGTGATGAGGCAACAAATGCAACTTGGATTTCAAAGCTGCATACTTGAGAACATCCACAATCGGAGTCCATCTAAGCAGACCGGGTTTCCCTATGTATAATAACCTAGACTCCACCTATAAGATTATGCGTTGCTTTTGTCAAAATCTATCACTATATCCTTCTCATTTACCTTTGTAATTATGGATGTATTCAGCTTCTTATATTTGTATCTCAGCCCTATTTTTTCTGGCGTGCCGGTCTCTTAATAATTATTAATAAGTTTTCGAATATGACAATCTGCTATCTAAGATGCAAGCTCAGTATGAGTTTCTTCAACAAAGCCAGATATGGTAGGCGGACCATAGTTATATTTCCGGGAGAGATTTGGTTTGTTGACTTTGTTTAGCGGCATATCAACCTCTTTGGGTGATTTAACCATTTGTGTCCTGCGTTCCAGAACAATTTTAACCCTTCTGCCTGAGCGCTCGAGTCAAAATTCGCAAATAATTGATATGTAATGATTCACGGTAGATACAAAAATAGTTGTTTACCCACCGTTCAACCGGTGGCTGAGCATTACGTCTTTTTTTTTCTATCACCGGTAAAGCGGCGGTCAGGGATCAAAGGTTTAATGCCGAAATCTAAATATTTTGAACACAATTTTATCGGTTCAACTACAGATATAATGTACTGTTGGTCCTTTTGCTATAAAATGTGTTATTAGTAATTCAACTATAAAATGTATTGTAAATTTTGCTATTAATATGTATTGCTGGATATTTTTAATATAAAAATGCTGGCATCTTCACTATAAAAATGTACTTCTATATTTTCAGTGTGTTTTATTTAAGAGTTCACTATTTGCCTATACCTAGGGTCCTAACAGGTGCTACTACCTTGGTTCAGGGTGGACCT